TATAAATGTCATTTTTATTAATATAATGATTATTGTCATCATCATTAATGTCATCATCATTAATGTCATCATCGATGATAATATTGTATTTACTATTCATTAAATCAGGATCATCAGAATTACTATTTGCCAGTGTAGACATCGAAGATGAAGAGCCTGCAGAAGTAATTGGATACTGCTGTTGTTGATGTTGGTGATGATGCTGCTGAATATTCCCAATGTCGTCGTCAATATCACAGATCTTGTTGTTGTTGTTGTTGTCACGAGTATTAACAAGGCCTTCAACCTCTAAAAAGTCAAACTCAATGTTAAAGTCCATTTCTGATAAGGAATAGTACGAAGAACAGGCCGTAAGTGACGACGAATTTGAAGCAATAGAAGAGGAAGAAGAATCATCTCTATGATTATTTTGCTTATCAATAACATCATAATCTACTTCATTTAGAAAATCATCAAACTATTTGTTACTCATACTAGAAAACAAAAACATTGGTAATCATTTTATTATTATTTTAATAATAATAATAATTAGAATGATAATAACAGTAAAATTATTTTTCTTTTTTATTTTTTTTTTTTTTCTTTTTTTTTCTCTCGATAAAAAATCAAAATCGTCAAAAGAATTTTTTTGTTTTTTTTTTTTTTAATATTTATTTTTTTTTAAAAAAAAATTAAAATATTACAATCTTTATATCTATACTTTTTTATAAATAGATATAAAGATAATTCCCTACTTTCATTTGTACTATTTTTTATTTTATTTTTTTAAATTCGTTTTTTAATTTATTTTTTTTTTTCGTTTTTTTATTTTCACAAAAAGAAATCACAAACACAAACAAACTCGAAATTTTTATTTTAAATTTTTTTTTCACGGAGTTTTTTTTTTATTTTTTTAGTTTTTAAATTATTTAATCCATCATAATTTAAAAATTTAAGATTTTATATATATATAGTTATAATTTATATTTACTCACTTCACACCACATAATCTATATATATATATAAATTAAGATTTTAAACATCATCCATTTAACTAAGAGAACCTAAAAATTTCCCGTTCACACATTTTCTTTGTAAATATTTTTATTTTTTTAAAAAATTTTGTTCCAAAAATTTATCCTTGTACATATAGAAAAAAATTATATAGATACATATAATTTTTTTTTTTGTTTATATATATTTCTAAAAACACGAGAATTTTTATTATTTTTTTTAAAAAAAAAAGAAAATTTTAAAAAAATTTTTAAAAATACATAAAATGAATAAAAATACAAAAAATTATATATCTTACTGGTTAAGAAAAACGTTATAACCAAAAAACAAAAAAAGTAATTGTGTATTATTATTATTTACGTTTATTTATTACTACTTAATTTGATGAGGCCACATCACCGAATTGATGATAATCGTAAACAAAGCAATTTTAAAATATATTTTAATTGGGCAAAATTTCATCTGTGCTGTGAGAATTTACAAAACTCTCCCTTTCACTTAAGAATAAATATTTATTATAGTTATTAACCAATATTTGTAGATTATTCTTATTAAACAACATTTGTGGTGATTGTCGCAGAAAGCGTTGAACGATCGAAATTTATTTCATCCATTCATATAAAATAAAAAAAATTTTTTTTTTATTGAGCCACATGATGATTTATGAATCATCGATACTAATACTAATCAATCGATACGAGAATTTCGAATTTTGTCATTCCATTTAATATTAAAATCGATGACTTACTTGTATTTCATTACAAATATATATATATATCGAATCCCGGATTAGTCACATAAATTCGAATCATACATTGTTTATTATGAAAAAATTCTGAAATGAATATCAGAGTTACATAATGTCCCAATACATTACCAACTAGCTCTGTATGTAGTTGCAAATCCACCTTCGCCTATCTTTTCAATATTTGTTTAACAAGTAATCCATTCAAGATAAATAATATTGATTATCATATCCCGTTGCTTTACGCTCTATGTTTTC